TTACTAGCCCAGACTTAAAGCTGAAATATCATGCCGCAGTGAAGCATGAATACCCCACTCAGACATTATACTGACTCGAGTGATACAGTCCTTGTTGTACCCATTAATGCAAAGTTTAATGCAGGGACCAACAAGTACCTTATTTTAAAGTCTTTTGGTACCCGACCTTCCGTGATACAAAGTTTAGTGCTTCTAACTCCCAGTTTACACCACAAGGCAGTCTCTTCATACAGGAAATAGTGATACAAAGTTTAGTGATTCAAAGTTAATCAAAAATATTATTCTTCAATACAGTATCGTAACTAACATACAGGCAATAGTGATAGCTAAATAGAACTTTAATTCTTCAACAGTGGCACAGAATTGAATCAAACTTTTACTTGTAACACAGTAAACACGTACTGTAACATACTCCGTTGTAATAACAGGTCAACAATGGAAGAAATCAGCACTGAATTGGGAATAACTCTGCACCGGACAAGATGAATTTATTCAGTGACATTAATTGAACATGGATATTGGATAATTGGTGAGTTGATATCTGGTCTGAAGACAAAACAGTGGAACAGATCGCGTAAATGCACCATGCTTCTCGGCAAACCGAGGAGCATGACTTTTCACGTCTTGTCCGACCACATGCTCTTGACCACGGGAAAAGCGGTCAAAATCGGTTGAGTTATGCATGGGTTAAGGTCTAACTTGAGTTTAGACGTCAGTTGAGTTCAGGTTTCCCTTGAGTTCGGTTGTTTCTTGAGTTGGGTGACAGCTCGTCAAAATAGGATTTAGATAGACTGATATAAAGAATGTATTAGTGCATCGAAATAGAAGTTCCATATAGCTAGCTGCTATAGAGCTAGATAATGTAGATAGTAGACTTACGCTGCAATAGAGCTAGATAGTGTAGATAATAGAATTTAAGGTATCACATTAAGTTTCTTGCCTCATTAGCATTTGTTATAAAAAATTCACATTTAGTTCCCCATTTATTGTTTGAATTATTTCATCAGTTTAATCAAGAGAGTCACGTTTAGTTCCCCAAATAGCATATGTTGATACTTTAATTTTAGTTAGTTTAGTTTTCAATTCCACTGGGCAACAATATCAGTCTGACAATCTATCAGCTTGGGATCTGTCCCATGGGTATGAGTTACGTTCTGCTAAATCATGGGACGACCCCTTTCCTTAAAACAACATCACTAATCCTCTGCAGGCTGCCTGCACAGTGAGGATAAACCACAGTATGAGCTGAACTGCCAGAGCAACATCAAGAAACAGCACACCAAAAGTTACCCTGACCAGACAATGACAACTGTGAAGTTGAGAGTAATCCCTTGGCTTGGTCCTGCTATGCAGGGGCTTGTCTTTATCACCTTGTTATTGCCCCATTGTTGAAGCATTGTCGTCAACATGCTTCAGAGTCATTTGCCTGGCTCCGAATTGTAGCAAATTAATGCAATAGTCAACTCAACCACATAAAAAATCCTTTAGCGTGTAATTTAACTATTTGGAGGTAGAGAAGTTGGTTGGAAGGATATATGCCTAGGTCCCAGAGGTGTCCCATGTAATGGGCAAAGAATACGGCCCAAATTGAGTTAGGGATTATTTGGCTTTTCGTCATGCGCTGGAAGCATCTTCTTGTCGCGCTCTGATGGGGAATCAATACAAACTGCACTTGTTGCGCCATCCCATCACGAAACTCGTCAACTGGCTCGGCAGGAATTATGAACGGGCACACGTGGCACGACATTTCTACGGGACTAATGAAGTTATCAATTTCTGGATGCATAGCCGGTGCCTTTCACTTTACTTACTCATTCCAGGTTTATTTAAGCTGTTGGCCAGCGTGCGTTAAATGTTGAGCAGCGATGAATAATTTATTGCCTCTGCCGCGTCCGACCAGAGGAAGGATCCCTCAGGGTTCAGATCTGTTCACGATGCTGCTCTGGCCACTGGTCTGAAATGAAGTTGAAAGCTGAGTTTCCATACTGATAATTACATGTTGGGATGTCGAGTCTCAGAATGCTCGTCATGTAACGGGGAATCCTGGAGGGAATTGTGGGTCTGAGGAAGATGGTTCGTGTCGGGCCATGTATCCTCATGAAGAACTTGGTAATGGACCATGGGGAGGTTTGCCATGTTAGTTGACCTTCTTTGTGATAACATTGTAACCTATCAGTTATTTGGTTTTAATTTTATATTTCAGCTTGTAGATTGGAGGGATTTTATTATATAGAAAGAATCTCACCCAAGTGTCTACTGGTATTAATTATATCAACAAGTTATATAGTTACAAATATTCGAGGTTTGCGAGGTGTCTTCTGATATATTTGATATCAGAAGACACGAAGGTGAGATTTTATTTATCATCAAAAAGCACTCTTCATTAGTTTTCAATGAAAAATGTACATCTCTGAACACGGTACTGCCATTAGACTTGCAGTGCAGCGATGTCATAGCATTGTGACATCATCAAGTTTATGATGTCATAGCATTATGATATTCTAAGTTTTTTTACATCATAGCATTATGAGTCGTGTAATTGATGATGTCAAAGCATTGTGATCTCATGTAATTGATGACAAGAGGGCATTGTACAAAATCTACTGTCAAAACAATATCTCCTCGGAGATATCGTTTGATCTCACACAAGCAATATCTCCAGTGGAACACAGTTTGGATGATAAATAATCATACCCTGTATTATAATGAAGATGTGCAGCAAGTCAGAACACATGAAAAAAGGTGTTCTTAAATCATTTTTTATGAGTATATTTGCCAATGGTATAGTGGCCAGCTAGGACTTCTATCTTGACCTCATTGGACCCCAAACTTATTGCCGACACTCAGTGTCCCACAGTCTTACAGATATAGACCGAGTTCAATCTCTGTTGTTTCAGGAGTTCACGGAGCACAAATGACTTTACACCCAGGCATACCCTGCGTGTGGACCAATCAGGTCGGCCATCAGACAGTGTTTAATCAGACAGTTATCAGTTACAACAGCAGCCTTGTAGCTGGCCAGGCAGCTGGCGAGTCACATCAATAACTAGAAACCAGCTTCCACTGATGCTGATTGTACACAGCGGACAACTTATTTGTGGATCAACTTTTAGCATGTTTTGTATCTGAGGTGTAAATAATGGTGGCTGTCGGACATATTTTCACCATGTACAGGGAGAGTTATTTCCCTTTGTCACAACTCTTGTTGTTGCATTATCATGGACAGTGAAGATCCCTTCTACAAAAGATCCTAGAGCTATTATTGTCATAAGTTTGTTAAGTATGGGAGTTAATGCTAACATCATAGTAACTTGGCATGGACAGTGAAGATCCCTTCTACAAAGGGATCCTATTGTGATGATTGTTGGAAGGTTATTAAGCGTGGGAGTTAGTGCTTACATCATAGTAACTTGGCATGGACAGTGAAGATCCCTTCTACAAAGGGATCCTATTGTGATGATTGTTGGAAGGTTATTAAGCATGGGAGTTAGTGCTTACATCATAGTAACAGAGCTCCCGATAAGATTCAGCTCATGTGGGTACTGTACCCACTGTATTTTTTTGGAGTGGGTATTATGAATGTTGAGTGGGTATTTCATTTTCCGTTACCCACTGCTTTCAAATATGTGCGTATTTCAGTCATTTTACTCACCTAAATATTATGTCACTGAGTAAGTTTACTAAGCAGGTATGTTCTGCCTTATGTCATACCTAATCAAAACCAACTTAAATATAATGGAAATGATTTCATAATAAATCACTCATCCTATACTGACAGTACAACACTTGTCCTATACTAACAGTACAACTTGATAGCAATCGATGTCTTTTTCATTACGCAAGCGGTTTTTATAAATATATTCTGGACGCATTTGTTTTAAACTTTTTGCGTATCTAACATTTTAAATGCGTAATTGGTACGCAACAATTATTTTTCAATGCGTAATTGGAAATTTTCTATGCGTATTTTACCCGGATACGCAGCTTATCTGGGCCTCTGTAGTAACTTGGACAGTGAAGATCCCTTCTACAAAGGGATCCTATTGCGATGATTGTTGGAAGTTTATTTAGCATGGGAGTTAGTGCTTAGATGATCTTAGTGCTAAGGTCATCTTGTGGAACGGTACCCAGGTGTCAAAGGCTGTACTAGGTATGTTTTCACATGCTGGGGTAGCCTAGTGGACAAAGTGTTTGCTTGTCTTGTCAGAGGCTTGGGTTCAATTTCTCCAATGGGTATAACGTGTGAAGCCAGTACCTATTGAACCAGCCGAGATGTTGCTAAAAGTGATGTAAGGCAGTAGTCACTTCAGGTCAAGATATCATAATGTGTCGGGGTGACTACTGAGGGGAAACAACTATTGTGATACCCATAGCCTATTGCAACACACCATTGAAACCTACTGTTGCAACACACCATTGAAACCTACTATTGCAACACACCATTGAAACCTACTATTGCAACTCACCATTGAAACCTACTATTGCAACACACCATTGAAACCTACTATTGCAACACACCATTGAAACCTACTATTGCAACACACCATTCAAACCTACTATTGCAACACACGATTGAAACCTACTATTGCAACACACCATTGAAACCTACTATTGCAATAGTTTTTTCTCCCTGAATTGTCTCATTTGAAGTCATTTCACAAAATGAATGTATAGTTTATATGAAATAAAAACAAGTTAAAGTAGTTTCAGTCTCTTTTAATAACTGACTAGAAACTGGAACCCCAGATTAAGTAATCAGTCATGTTCGTTGAAGAGGTAACAGGGGCTGATAACTCTCAATTAGATTGAACGAATCTGTACTTCCTGCCTTTTGCGCTGCGTATTTATCAAAGGAAGTCAATTACTAAACTATCGATAGTCACAGATACTATTGAGGCATCTACCATCGATTAATTGCTATCAGAGACTCAATAATTACAATCCATGGATAGTTTGATGCATCGTTACAGCACTAATAATATGTGATCTCTATTTTTCAGATGGCCTTGACCTCCAATTGATGTGCATGGCCGGACTGTGGGACTTCGAGGATGCGGCTGAAACGTACACACCTGGTGACCGTGGTCATCGGTGTCTTTCTCTCCTGGAATATTCTCACGTACTACATGCTGGTTTCTAAGCAACCAGGAAAAGTGAGTATGCAGCTTCACAGAATTGACTGAAACTAGCAAGTTTTCGTTTGGACAAGTTGTCTGTGTGAGGGTTTGAGTTAATTCTGTCTCACCACTCTGTAGAATTCACCGACAGACCACTTAACTTGTACGGATTCTCTGTACTTCCTAAGGATTTTGAATTGAAAACAAACTAATACGAATAAAGGTGAAAAAAATATGGATTTAAATGGTATGAAATAAGGCAGGTTCTAATGAATTAATATGAAATGAAACACAGTGTAGTTCTGTGTATAAATGTACACAAAACTTTATCGAAGTACATTTTCAAACTGGTATGACCGCCTCCGTTAAAATATGGTACTTGTTGGTCCCTGCCTGGCTCTCGGCATTAATGGGTACAACAAGGACTGGTCAGCTCGGAGTCAGTATAATGTGTCTGAGTGGGGTATTCATGCTTCACTACGGCATGGTATCTCAGTGGGCTAGCACTATAAAACCAGCTTCAGTCTGGGCTAGAACAAGCAGCCGCACATACACATACACACGCATGCACGTCGTCATATGAGCGAAATAATCTCAAGCACGATGTTAAACCCCAATTTCACCTCACCTCACCTCAAACTGGTATAGATTGTTTTTCTGGTTTAAGATGGTGTGCTGCATTCATTGAACGAATAGAGCATGACGAAAGATTATGTTGCATTCTGAAAAAATTGACCTTGGTCAATCAATTGTCAGTATAGTCCAAGGTTATAAAGTTACGTGTTTAAGCAGCACAGCGATACGTTGGATTCAAACCGTCTGATCTGACTGTGTCAAAGTGACTCAAAGAGGTGATGGATACTCTTTCATTGCAACAAGAGAGGTCAACTTCACCCGCTTGCACGCAGTTTACAATATATTTCATCTTCTTGGTGATGCTCTGGACAAGAACAAGGGTGCCATACAATTGTTCTCTGCCTACTTAGTATTATGTTTAGCATGGTAAAATATCCCGAGTTCTTGAAGTTGGCTGGTGAAAATGTAATTTTGGAGGATTGTAGTGACTCAGGGTTAGAATTGGTCTCCAGCCATCTTGATTAGTCTCAGATGAATGCATGTGTAATTTTGGACTCAGTGTTAGAATTGGTCTCCAGACACTGTCATTGGTCTCAGACTATTGGACATGTAATATTGGAGGATTGTGGTATTTCTTGGTTAGAATCGGTCCCCAGCCACCTATGGTTTCAGAAACAGTGACTTGATGATTGAGTGGTCAGACTTGGTGACTTGGTTGACGACATGTTACACATTGGTTTGTCACTCATATGACTTGCCATTGTCTGTCCTCAACCATTTTGACCAATGTCTGCTGCCCCTTCCTTACTCACTCACTGACTCATTCACTCACTCACTCACTCATTGACTGACTGACTGACTCATTGACTGACTGACTGACTCACTCACTCATTGACTGACTCACTGACTGACTGACTCACTCACTCACTCATTGACTGACTCACTGACTGACTGACTGACTGACTCACTCATTGACTGACTCACTGACTCATTGACTGACTGACTCACTCACTCACTCACTCACTCATTGACTGACTCACTGACTGACTGACTCACTCATTGACTGACTCACTCATTGACTGACTGACTCACTCCTGACTCACTCACTTTTAAGATGCACTTTTAAGATGCAGATATATTTACTTTGTACTATAAACATGTTTTCTCCTAAGCACAATGACCAGTAATGACTATGATTTATTGTATCCCAGTGTTGTGGGGCATTGCTCATGACATCAACCACTGGTTTATTTGGCCAGAATCGATGATTTATATGCTGCCATCCAGTCTGAAGTAAAACAGACATGTTTGAATAGCATCAGTAACAAAAGACACTTTTCAGGTGGGAAATTATCTAACATACCCTGTCAGTTCTTCTTCTATTTCTATCAGATGTCTGAAATAATCTCGGCAGATTCGCTGCTTTTCATCAGACCCACCATAAACCTACTTTGTCACTTTATCTTGGTCCCCGGGAAACCCCTAGATGCTAGAAGTGCCACTTTTATTAATGGGTCACCTTCTACAGACCAACTAGTGCTGACCTCTCTGTGATGCCGCTCTCATCAATCTTTCCCTGATTTTCAAACTGCCGCTTGCCTACTGCTCTCAATCTCTTTAAATTTATCCCCAGTATTGATGAGACATTTCATCCAGCTCAACCTTTCCACAGCGGCCCACGAGACGATCCATTCCCCATTTCCATCATTAAGAAAGAAACCCAAGTTGCCTGTAAGGACGGGCGAAAAAATGAAAGCATGTATCACGTTTATAAATGTTGTGTGGCATGTTCGTCTCCCTGGGAGGCACAGCGGAAGCTTTAATCCTTACAGGAGGAGGTTGAAAAATGGAGAGTTTTTCAGGAGATTGTGGAATAAATCAATGGCTTGCTTATTAAACACTCACGAAACAAGGCTTAGGGTTCCTCCGAGAGGGGCGAGCAGCGAGATTCATCACATCTTTGGGGACTTGAGTAATTAACCCTTTCGAAGATAAGTCCTGAGTGCTGGTGGAGGAGGAGTCATTAGCAAGGAAGTAAAGCCTGTCTGTGATGAGTTGGGGAGGAAGTAATTGGTTGAGACCACTACTATGTTGTAGTTGTGATGTGTCTTGGAGTTTGTGAATCCCCACATTCGTACAATGTGTGAAGCCCATTTCTGGTGTCCCCCGCCGTGATGTTGCTGGAATATTGCTAAAAGCAGCGTAAAACCAAACTCAGTCAGTCTTGGAGTTTGTGAACCCATGAAGAGCCGGGGTAGAATAGGTCTTCAGCAACCCATGCTTGCCACAAAAGGCGACTATGCTTGTCGTAAGAGGCGACTAATGGGATCGGGTGGTCAGGCTCGCTGACTTGGTTGACACATGTCATCGGTTCCCAATTACGCAGATAGATGCTCATGCTGTTGATCACTGGATTGTCTGGTCCAGACTTGATTATTTACAGACCGCCGCCATATAGCTGGAATATTGCTGAGTGCAGCGTAAAACTAAACTCACTCACTCACTCTTGAAGTTTGTGGGACTTACCTTGAGTCCTGTATTTGAGGGTCCCTGGGACTCATACTCTTAATTTTCAGGGGTCCTGGACAGCAAAATGGGGGGTCCCACACACTTAAATATTATTATTAATATTGTTATTATCCCCCGCCTCGCGTTTAACGCGAAGCGGGGGATATAGTATTAGGCACTGTCCGTCCGTCCGTTGGAATATCTTAAGAACCTTTCTCTAGATTCTTTTCATATTTGGTACCTAGGTTCATCACAGTAAAAGAAAGGTCCAAGTCAGGTTCGGTGACCTTGACCTTCATTTCAAGGTCACAAGGGGACTTTCACGTTTTACCTGCATGTTAAGCTATCTCAAGAACCGTTCACTAGATTTTCTTCATATTCAATACCAAGCTTTATCTAGGGAAGGCGCAGGGCGCAGTCGAATTTGGTGACTTTCACATAATTTACAAGGTCATGGCGACACTTTGAAGATTTCAGCATGTAAACCTGCATGTTAAGCTATCTCAAGAACCGTTCACTGGATTGTCTTTATATTTAAAACCAAGCTTTATCTTGGGAAGGTGCAGAGCCCAGTCAGTTTTGGTGACCTTCACTTAATTTTCAAGGTCACAGCGACACTTTGAAGATTTCAGCATGTTAACCTGAATTGTCAGCAAGATATTTCAAGAATGGTTCACTGGATTTTCTTCAGACTTTCAAGACTTCCCTTAAATGTTTTTCAATAAGCAATTTCTGTAGTACTATTTTTGCATATTTCATACACTATGACATTCATGTCAAGATCAAAGTCAGTCTTGAAAATATGTGTGTGTTTGAACACCTAAAGAGGAAGATATCAAGAGAAGTTGACTGGTCATGTTTTTGATGACATTTAACTTAAACTTTCATTACTTTATAAGTTTGATTTGATCATTTGTGTCGGGGGATTATGTCACCTTAGTGACAATGCTTTTTGTACTGTGTATCATGATCATCACATTGTTACAGTAATTGAATTGCAAATAATACCATAACCCAGCTAGAAGCAAACTCTTTGATATCTTATTGTTACTTGATTGGAATTTTTACCAAAAGTATTTGGACTTTTTCTGTGTCCCTGTGGACGCGTTAATAAATTTCGTTGCATCCATTGTCAATTTTTATGTGTATAGGACGCAGGAATTCACATCCTGTAAATCCCTGGACATTGTATATAATTTATACTTTGTAGTTTGTTGATGTGGTATAACAGTGTTTAGAATCTACCTCGGGGCTGGATAGGGTATCTGTGTTACACTGCGACATTGTATATAATTTATACTTTGTAGTTTGTTGATGTGGTATAACAGTGTTTAGAATCTGCCTCGGGGCTGGATAGGGTATCTGTGTTACACTGCGACATTGTATATAATTTATACTTTGTAGTTTGTTGATGTGGTATAACAGTGTTTAGAATCTACCTCGGGGCTGGATAGGGTATCTGTGTTACACTGCGACATTGTATATAATTTATACTTTGTAGTTTGTTGATGTGGTATAACAGTGTTTAGAATCTACCTCGGGGCTGGATAGGGTATCTGTGTTACACTGCGACATTGTATATAATTTATACTTTGTAGTTTGTTGATGTGGTATAACAGTGTTTAGAATCTACCTCGGGGCTGGATAGGGTATCTGTGTTACACTGCGACATTGTATCTTGATGGGCTGTCCCTATGATACAGGCACCTCCACTGACATCTTTGCTGCTCGCTGTGCAATCACCACAACCCGTCTGACTTGATTCACTTCGCCATGATAGTGTCCATCAACTAACTGCAGCGTTGCCCGGTCAGAATGACACTGTCAGTTTAAATGATGTAAAATTACAAAAATGAAATGCTTGTTCCACGATTTTGAAATGGGATGCTTGTTCAATAATAGATGTATTGTGGTGGAACTATTGCTCTTGTGGCTACGCAAAGCTTTAAAACGCCTTGTGTAAATTAAACACACAGCTCACTACTGTTCATCCCATTGGGACGCAAGGGAAAGCAGATGATAGGACATTGTGGTTGTCATTAGATGATTGCTGGGTATGATGTGGTGGTTTGTGGGCGGCAGGCTGATTTTGTGGCAGCGTTGGAAGCAGATTTCCTCACCTTGTGTGTAATGTACATTTTACATTCACTGCATGTGCACACACCTGCACACACCTGCACACTCATGCACACCCAGGATTCCGTATTTAGAATCCACAGAACTTATAGCCAATCACATGCTTAGTATAACATCGAGATTTTCCGATTCAATAATGCCGGACCTTAGTAACCGAGTGCATTTGTCAAATTTGGCATTTACGATCGAACATTATTACAAATAATATGATAACAAACTACTTATAACAGAAGTGTGAGGGGGAAAGTGGTGAGGAATCGGGGATAAGTCCTGACAAAAACAAAACTGACGGCAGTCACGCCGAGAAATCTAGTAGGCAGTGTAGGTGTTGTCAAAATTAAGTTATTCAGTTCATTCATTTTGAAATTACTTTTATGTTTTTGCTTGTTGAACTTTCATTTAGCTTGTAGCTTAAAAAGTCACAGCCAATCTTTTGCTTGTGCTTAAAAAGTTAAGATCTAACCCTGCACGTGTGCAGAGTGGAGTGTGTGGAGTTGACCAGGAGGTATTTGATGGCACTGTGACAGATTATTGTTGCAGACTGAAGAAAATATTTTATTAGTTTCTAACTCTGCTCAAATACGTTAAAGGTCATGTGTTGGAATATCTCACCATGTAATCCGATCAGTTTCATTAATTTTGAACAGACTTTACTGCTGAAAAATGGCTGTCCTCTCCAGAGGGTATGCAGGGAAATAGCAGACGACAGTTTTCTGATAAATGGCAGGAGTGTTGGACATGATATTCCTGTGTTATCGGGAAGCGTGGCCTTGTGGTTTATTTGTTTGCTCATCGTACCAGAGGCCTGAGTTTGATGCCTGACATACGATTCATGTCAGTCCATTGGCTTAAAACAGTGTAAATCACTCCTTACCTGGTGTGCCATGATATTTTCTAAGTGTTGCTGAAGGCAGAATACAGTCCTGCTCACTGAAATATGTTGCAGTAAAACCCCAGACAGATTGAATTGTTTAGAATTTGACCATGCAGTATCAGAATTTACTGCTTTTTAATAATAAACGTACTTGCTTCATGTTTATTTACAACTGTCAATCCACTGAGATTGTGAAATGGGACCCTAGGCAATGCCCCAATACATTGAAGATCACGTGTTGGACAGGATATCTCGACTTGTAATCCAATAATTTTCATTAATTTAACTGGTGTTACTGCTGTGATATGGCTGTCGTCTCTAGAGGGTTTCGGAGGGCAGCATCAGATGATTTATTGATTGGCTAAATGGCTGAAGTGTTTCCTGCCAGCTTTTAGATAATGAAAAGTCATTAATGGAACACACCAAGGGTAGTTTGGTCGTCTAAGGTGCGGCTGTTTGCTGTGCAGAGTTGCGTCTGCTGTGCTTCCAGAAACCTGTGATTGTGTGTTTGGATCAGATTAGGCTGGCGTGTCGTATTTTGACTGGAATATTGTTTAAAATGGCAGTAAACTCACTCACTCACTCACTCACTCACTCACTCACTCTTTGTTTTTGCTGTCTGCAGTATATAGTCTAGTGACATGACATGATTGTCTTCAAAATATCAGATTCTCACAAGTGCTGGAATTGCAGCTCCATTGTAGGGTCCTATGACAAAGCACGTCTGTTGTAAGTTTCATTGTGTCGTGACATGTGACATCTTGATAAGTTTACACATCAAGATCTCCTGATTATCAGCTGTGTACACACTGGGTGTGTCTCTACCGCCGAACGGTCATAAGTGACATATGGTCTTGAGAGTTACCTGCCCTTGGTCAAGTGGAGAAACTGGAACAAGGGACCGCATGGCGTCTGAAACTGAGGACATTAAAAAAAATAAACTCACAGAGTCTGTGCAGAAAAGCCGCCTGCTTGAGACTGTATCCTATATTGTTTGGATCACGTGACCTTTGTCACATGATTGGCTGAAATGTGACTGACATAAGTCACATTATGATGCATGGGTTTCTCAGAAATTGTAAATGTATTGCACCTGTTTTGTATTTAGGGAAATCAACCACGATACTTTGCTGAAATATTGGTGGAAGTTGTATAACACTCCTTTGCACTGCATTACAGCTTGTTCAGCTTGACCTGATCAAGTGAATACTAATGTATTGCGTGACCGTGTCACAACTGGTTGGGTCTATTATTGTGAAGGGGTGTACCTTTGTCAGTTGATTGACAACATGTCCGAACAGCCGAGACCAGGTCGCCGTTTGACATCTCAGTGTCGAGAAATCGTCAGCAACGTCCTAGTAACTGGGACAGAAACTTGTGAAAGGAATTGACGTCGGTACTTTGTTGTAAAGTTAGCAAACCAAAATACATAGCATATGGCTGTATAAACAATTCAATTAAAACATGAAATGATTGTTTTTTTCAGAAGTGTTGTTTTCCTGGACAAGTTCTGTAACGAATCCATGTATGCAATATTAGTGGTGTGACGATTCATCGATATACATCGATCCATGGGCCGCCGATACAGTTGATCGATACAAACTTTTATATTGTCGAATATCCCGATACGATACTTCAAAAGGGCCACGATACATCGAGTTTTAACTTTGAATATTGCCGAATCGCGATATCTGTCATGAAAAAACACTTACTTTTGTTTGATGATTAAAATATATGCATACTTATTTTCCCTTCATAAGTAAACGTTTTCTCGGAAATTCTTGCGTCAGGAACTGTGTTAGACATAGCGCTCGCATGTTATTAACATTCACAAAGTCCGTGTATAAACTTAATTATCTCGTTTCCGAATGAACATTGAAAAACGCTGGCGGAATGCAGCTTCGCACGAACACAACATTAATAACATTCTCTGCTCCCCTATTTAATGAAGTTAACTCGGCCTGCCGTTTGTGCCATTTGACGTCCTGGTTCATGCTCAGGTCAAGCTGAACGAGCTGTAGTGACCATCATGTAGAACTTGGTTATGACTTTGACCCATAGTGTTGACCTTCACATTGACCCATAGTGTTGACCTTCACATTGACCCATAGTGTTGACCTTCACATTGACCCATAGTGTTGACCTCCACATTGACCCATAGTGTTGACCTTCACATTGACCCATAGTGTTGACCTTCACCTAATCACTGTTGTCTCTGTTTCAGATCACTGATGTTCAGGGAAAAGAAGCTTTAGCCACACGGCTGGGTAAACTTGAGAAGGACTTGTCTAGTCAGCTGGCGGAGAACGAGGAGCTGCTTCAAAAGCTTCGCCATCTCAAGGAGGAGGCAGGTTAGCAGGTTTTAGCATGATTGTCCGGTGTGCAGGGGCAGTGGGGTAGCCTAGTGGTTTGACCCGGGTTCAATTCCCCGAAAGCTGTGTAAAAACTAAACTCACTCACTCACTCACTCACTGTGTAAGGTTCTGTTATGGAATGCCTGTATTATGAATTGTATTGTAATATGCTAGGAGGTCAAGGTCAGAATGGGGCGGTGGGGTAGCCAAGTGGTTAAAGCGTCCGCTCGTCACGCCGAAGACCCGGGTTCGATTTCCCACATGGGTACAATGTGTGAAACCCATTTCTGGTGTCCCCCGCCGTGATATTCCTGGAATATTGGTAAAATCGGCGTAAAACTAAACTCACTCACCCACTCAAGGTCAGAATGGTCAGTCAAATATATTTCTCTTTTGATTTTGGATTAAGCTATACAAATGATAACAAAACCTCTGCTGGTTTCTAAGTATACCCTGTATATACTGAAAGCCTATTTTAAAACCTCTTGTTTGAAAAGTATATTGCAGTATACCAATACTACTTTTCCCAATATACCCGCCATATACTGATAACCCAAAACTTATTGTGTATTGCAGTATACCGGTAAACCTGTGTTCTACGATGACTTCAGTAAATACTGGATTGTGATTGGTTAATTAAAGTCATCAGAGGTTTATAATCACATGATTTTTCAAAACAGTATTATTTTTTTAAATCTTAATAACGCAGTAAAATGGAGATAATCATTCTGTGTTGGAAAATCAGGTGATTATAAACCTCTAATGACTAGGTATATAACAAAATTATAATAGCTCTAAAAATTTTATTTGAAACCTCACCCTACATGTTTGGTTTTAAATCCAATTTAGACCTTTGTAATTTTGTTATATACCTCTGATTCATAGGCTCCTGACTCTGATATATTTATAAGTATGACCTATATCATAGGTCATACTAACAAATCTCAGGCTACAGACCTGCACCGAATAGCAGAGCTGGTCTCTGATTGGATAGCGTCTTCTATTATTCCCACCTCTTTTAACGTGCAACTATATTATGCAATCAGAGACTCGCTCTACTATTCGGTGCGGGTCTGTAGCCTGAGATTTGTTTACTTCCGGGCATATGTCCTGACTTCGTGCGAGAATGGACGGCAAAATTATTGAAAGCTTTAAATGAGAATAAAATCACCAGGTTAGTGATACGCAAGGTACTTTACAAAAGTCAACTGGGCATAAATTATGCAGTTTATTCAACGGTCAAAGCGATGGAAGCGTTTGTCAAACCGAAACCCAGCCGAGCCGAGCCGGGCGCCGGCTGCCATTTTGCTTCGATTTACTGACACACCTTTCTTATATCTTATATATATATGTCATACTTATAAATATATCAGAGTCATGCGCCTATGCTCTGATTTTCCAACTCAGTATGTTTATCTCCTAAACACTGTGCTGTCCTACTACCTGGAATATTGTCTGCAGAGTTTTATCTGTTCTGAGTTTCTGTTTTCTCTTTGTGTTTCAGACCAGCGAAAAAATGTTCCGGCAAGAGTAAACCCTGACGAGACTCATCCGAACCAGATCGCCATCTTGATGATAGCGTGTGACCGGGTGACTGTGAGCCGCAGTCTCGACCAGCTCTTAAAGTGAGGATATGTTGTGCTGTTTTGTCCTTTGTTACCATGGTTACACATCCACCTACCCTAAAATTTAATAGGTTAAATTATATTTTATAATTTGCAGTTTTTCTAATCCGGTTCCAAATGTTTTAAAACTTGTTACTTTTGAGATGAATATTAATGGATAGTTTCTGATTTTTGTAACTTCGATGCCTTTCACGAGCGTCACTTTGTGAGGCCTAGAAAGCAAAATGCTTTGGTTCCGATTACCCGACCGACCCTTGAATTCTGGTGCCGACTTTAGTTTTTTTTATAAGGGTATCAATAAAATAAGCTTTCAGATACCATTGTTTTTGTCCGGCACCAATGACATTGGTCATTCTGATCGAGAAAGTCAACATGATGGCCGAGAGCTTGATTGAATAAACAATTATACGTTGATAAATATGTTATTAATTCATACTTTACTTCTAAAAAATAAATGTAAAAAAAAAAGAATTCCTACCTACTTACCCTAAATTTTAAAGAGGTGTAATCGGAACCACAACATTTTTTTTATTTGGCCTGATGTGCATGGCAACTGGCAAATATAGACAGCCTGTCAAAATAATTGGTTCCAGAATCTTTAAAACATGTTACTTTTGAGTTGAATTATAATAATACTGGGCAGTTTCTGATTTGTGTAACCTCAAAATCTCAAAAAGATGTCGAAATTTCCGTTTTGGAATTTGAATGGAAATGACACCAATGTAAGTAATGTTTGATGTAACTGACAAGAAACCCTGTCTTTTATGTAGATATCGTCCAGCTGGTGACAAATTCCCGATTGTTGTCAGTCAGGACTGTGGTCATCAGCAGACATCGGATGTCATAGACGGATACGTCAAGAAACAACTCGTGAAACATGTGAAAGTAAGTCCGTCACATCCATCATCAGTACTTCGTGTGTTGTTTTACTAGGGCTGCGCAATATAACCGGTTCAGACATGAAATCGATATGTATTCCGATACGCTGATCGAAAACCGGTATTTCGACATGCATTCGGAAAACTTCGTAACACTTGGAAATCTTCGGAAATTTCCGTTTTTCACAACGGAAGTCAAGGTTTGAAGTTGTCTTCTTTATTTCTGTTCAAGTGTTTCGCAATGTTTTGGATCTGAATGTTTTAAATATTTACTCATTAATGACCAGTGATATCTGCCTGACCAGGTCAAGTTGCTGTCTAAAATCTCAGCGCTTTTTTTGAGACTGTAGAAACTAGTTGGAACTAGTAACCACTGTGTTGATGTTAAATTGTTCTTTTCCATGTTTCATTTGTGCCAAATATTATTTATTTTGTCATGATTAGAAGTTTTTATTAAAGCATAGTGATTTTGTTGTGCTTTTGCTAAAACATTTTTAATCAAACATTAACTCAATTATAATTATTTTTTTGTTTTAAAACAAATCTTGCAATATATTGCAATACATCTCTCAATATATGCTTTCACATTGCAATATATCGCAATATGAAAATTCACTGCAATACCCACCCCTATGTTTTACATCACGTCCCACCATCTCCTGTGTCTGTCTGTGATGTCGTCACTGTTTCTAACTCATGAATCAAGGGGGGCGTTGGGGTAGCCTAGTGGTTAAAGTGTTGGCTCGTCACGCCAAAGACCTGGGTTCGATTTCCCACATGGGTACAATGTGTGAAGCCCATTTCTGGTGTTCCCCGCCGTGATGTTGCTGGAATATTGCTGAAAGCGGCATAAACCAAACTCAGTCAGTCAGTCAGTCAGCATAAATCAAGAGCAGGCCTGGTTCCTTCAAGAGGGCAGACGGGAGATATTGAGTTCTTGCCGAGTGATGCATTCACCAACAACAAACAAACAAACAAACTCTATTGCCTGAGAGACAGAAAATGCTCAGATCAAACACCTAAATTTTACAAAGTGTGCAGTGTTTGCCACAGATGTCTGCTCAAAACTGTTCAGAGTCGTGTTAAATCCAGTCGCTCACTCCGTTAAGATCTGAGTTTGAACTGGTCTTCAGCCATCCATGTTTGTGTCATAAGAGGCGACTAACTGGATATCTCGATATGGTGGTCAGCTCACTGACCTGGTTTATTACATGTTGTCATATCCCAATTGTGTTGGTCAATGCTGACTGGATTGATCAATCACTGGATTGTCTGGTCCAGACTCGATGACTTCCAGACTGCTGTCAAATCGCTGGAATGTTGCTGAGTGCAGCATTCACCAACAAACAAACAACCAAACCCACTCTATCGTGATGCTAAACCTGTGGTGTATTTGTTTCAGCAACCTAATTTATCCAACATCAACCTTCCCTGGCCACAGAAGAAGTTTGTTGGCTACTACAAAATAGCCCGCCACTACAAGTGGGCTCTAAACCAGATATTTAAAGTCTTCAACTATTCCACAGCTATCATTGTAGAAGGTAAGCACCCGATTCCTGACTGTTGCTGACACCAGTAGTAGATATGGAGTCCATCAAAACAATAGCTGAGTTGTAGTTTTGTCAGGTTGCACGTGGGGCCTTGTTGTCTATAGTGGTGTTCCGATTAATTGAAATAATCTGAGATTGGTCGCATTGGCCAAACGACCAAGCAAAATCACACTTTCTCACAATCGAACACAAATGATTTTGTAACTACTGTTTTAGTGTTTGAAACACTTGACGATGAAACATATCTTAGAAGCTGTCAGTGTCAGGGCCTGAAAACATGTTTCATTCTTAGACAACTCACTTCACTTACTGAAAAGTACTGACTGAATATTTCTTGAAGACTCCAGGAAGTTTATGTTCATGATATAATAGTCATCACTTTAAAGTAGCAAGTTGCATCATTTTACATTGGATGTGAAGTTTGCAAATGCAATTTGTGCACTTTCTAAATACAACATAAAACATCAGAGAACCATCTTATACCTATCTAATCTGCAATAACAATAAAAAATAGGAAAAATGATGCTAACCAATTTTTTTCGATGATTGCTTGTTGATAATGAACCAATCATCCATTGAGAGATTTCAGCCAATTCCCAACACTAGTTGTCTAGGGTGCCACGATTGGCTGTACTCACAAGAAACAAACAAGAACGTCTGAATGTGGGATCAGATCTGGGTTTGTCCAAATTCTGGTTCCAGGTTTGTGAGCACCATGCCAATCCCTATCGGTTCCACCAGTGGTTAATGTCCGAGATCCCCACATGGGCACAATGTGTGAAGCCCATTTGTGGTGTCCCCCGCTGTGATATTGCTGGAATATTGCTAAAAACGGCATAAAAACCATACTCACTCACTCACTCACTCACTCACTCACTCACTCACTCACTAATGTCCGAGACGTGACTCACGACTGAGCTTTTCTCCCACACCAAAACACGATGTGATTCAACTGGAGTAATGTTGAAAGCTGCACTAAAACCCAACTCACTTCCTGTCTTCTTTCGGGCCGGTAGGGTAGCCTATTGGTTAAAGCGTTCACTCGTCACGCTGAAGACCCAGGTTCATTTCCCCACATGGGTACAATGTGTGAAGCCCATTTCTGGTGTCCCCTGTCGTGATATTGCTGGAATATTGCTAAAATTGGCGTAAAACCCAACTCACTCACTCACTCACTCCTGTCCTCTTTCATTGCAGATGATTTAGACATATCACCAGATTTCTTCGAATATTTTGCTGCCACGCACACTATAATGAAGAACGACCCTCTGTTGTGGTGCGTGTCTGCTTGGAACGACAACGGAAAGGACAACATGGTGTCCGACAACTCCGGTAGGTGGATACGGTCAGGGGACCTCCGGTGAAACACATCTTCTTTTGTGTGTGTGACGGGGCACTCATAAAGACGGTCTCACCTTGAAACTTAAAATGTTCGAAATGTTCTTTCAAAAAGAATAAACTTCATGTCAAAATATTTAGGGGATCCCAGGGTTCAAATATTTCACAATAAAAGTATTCGGGGGACCAAAGGATCACCAAGGACCCTCTGGACCCCCTTGATTTTCAAACACTCAAGTGTGTGAAATCTGACCTTTAAGATGACCAGCTACCTTCCAGACCGCCTCCGTGGTGTAGTGGTTAGAGCGTCCGCCCGGAGTGCGGAAGGTCGCGGGTTCGATCCCCGACCGCGTCATACCAAAAGACGTTAAAATATGGTACTTGTTGGTCCCTGCCTGGCGCTCGGCATTAATGGGTACAACAAGGACTGGTCGGCTCGGAGTCAGTATAATGTGTCTGAGTGGGGTATTCCTGCTTCACTGCGGCATGGTATCTCAGTGGGCTAGCACTATAAAACCAGCTTCAGTCTGGGCTAGTACAAGCAGCCGCACATACACATACACACACATGCACGTCGTCATATGAGCGAAATATTCTCAAGCACGAAGTTAAACCCAATTCCACCACCACCACCAGCTACCTTCCTGTGACATGAGGAGAATGATGGATTCAGTTTCACAATTCCCAAGTTTACTTGATGAGACTTATTGCCCATTCAGTACATTCATACGTTCCAATACCATACTTGTGTACAATATACTTGTGCCACGTACATCGCTGTCGTCATGTAACAAACACTGGTCTGTAGCCTGCCTCTTGTGTTGACAGAGCTGCTGTACAGGACAGATTTCTTTCCCGGTCTCGGATGGATGATTGAGCGAGCCACATGGCTGGAGCTGGAGCCCAAGTGGCCAGAAACGTGAGTCATGGTGAAACATTGGTGAGGATGAAATGTGTGTAGTTGTGAAACATGGGTTTGGAGTGAAATGTGAGTCAGGGTGAAACAAGTTGAAATTTTAGTGAGGGTGAAATGTGCGTCATCGTGAAACATGGGTCCGTGTGAAGTGTCAGGGTGAAACATTGGTGAGGGTGAAATGTACGTCGTTGTGAAACATGGGTCGGTGTGAAATGTGAGTCAGGGTGAAACAAGGTGAAATGTGAGTCAGGGTGAAACAAGGTGAAACATTGGTGAGGGTGAAATGTACGTCATTGTGAAACATGGGTCTGTGTGAAACGTGAGTCAGGGTGAAACAAGAATTGGGGTAAGGGATGAGTAGAATTCATTTTACAGGTGTGTTATGTTACAAGTGGGTCACGTTACAGGTGCGTCACGTTACAGGTGTGTCACGTTACAGGCGTGTCATGTTACAGGCGTGTTATTCTAAAATACAGGTGTGTCAGGTTACAGGTGCATCATGCTACTGGTGTGTCACTTTACAAGTATGTCACGTTACAGGTGCATCATGTTACAGGTGTGTCATGTACTTGCAGGTTCTGGGATGACTGGATGCGGGCACCCGGAGCAGCGGAAGGGCCGAGAGTGTATACGGCCTGAGATCTGTAGAACCAGCACGTTCGGCAAGAAGGGCGTCAGCAAGTGAGTGTAGCATCCACGTGGTCATTTTAACCTGATCCAGTTTTGTGCACATTCACCAGCAAGACCGGTGTTGAATGAATTGTGGCACCAGTGGGTGTAGCGAAACAGATGTCTAGAGTTGATAAAAAATTGTTCTGGTTCTGTGGATTTAATCTCATTATGTGAACCTGCCATGGGGTTATTGGCAGACCACTGTCATCTAGCTGAAATACTGCTGTCAGTGGCAGTAAATAAACAAAATCATCTGGATTTTGCTGATCCTGGGTTCAGATTTTACCTAGTTATACTGATATGATATCATGATAGTCAGTACCACTGGTTGCGAGGTTCCTAAGAGGTCTTCATTTTCAAGTGTGGCATGGCATTTCACTGGACTGGTCTATAAAACTGTCATTAGATCAGACTGGTGTACACATCTCTGTATGGAGGTGAAGCCATCTTGCCCCTGACATTGTATTGTGATTGTCTTGCAGACTCCTTGTTAAAATACTTTTGTTCTGTTTCAGGGGGTTATATTATGAAAAACATTTAAAGTTCATAAAGTTGAACCAGAAGTATGTGCCTTTCACACAACTAGATCTTTCATATCTGGAGAAGGTACGTAAAACTTGTCCTGTTGCCATCATTCTCTTCCCACAGAGGTTACTCAAGTCATATCTTCCCACGTAACCTCTGTTCTAATACGGCCATATTTCCCGGTTATCGTAAAATCCCCTGGTGGCAAAAAAACGCAACACAAATTATCACCCTTCTTTCTATCCAATCAGAACACGTGTTACATCTACTTAGATGCAATATGGCGACCGCCATGGAGTTAGTAGATCAATATGCAAAGGATAGATTCCATATTTCATGTTTAGCTGAAAATCAGAAGCTAGCAATAGAAAGTGGGGCCACAAATATCCCTCCTCTGCCGTGACACACAAGACATTTAATGGCTAGCTTGTCCGTTGTCAACGCATGCGATGGAGACGCCATTGATCTGACATATCATGACTGAGTTCTGTCTAGAAGAAACGTTTGCGCGCATCGCCCAGGGGAAGAGGTTACAGTTTTCCCAAAGCATACGGAATTACCGAGGCTTTGCAAATGGTCACTTTTGAAACAACGTCGCCGCTAGCACAATTAAATCTGATTGCAACCAATCACGAATCTTGAACACTCGCACCTTGAAAGCGCCGTATTAGAACAGAGGTTACATGGGAAGAGAATGGGTTGCCATTAGAGTCTTAAATACATTCATACATGCATAATTGAACAATCACTGATGGTCTGAGGGATGTTAGACCCGTGAAGCTTCAGCAGGCCATGCTTGTCATAAAAAGCTCACTGACTTGGCCTTTGAATGGCATTTAGAAGCGGTACACATAAGGAAGAGAGTTTTAAGGATGTCAACTTCTTTATCATGAGGATAACAAATAACAAGAATTACTCCTTTATTGCTGACTTGGTTGCTATGGTGTCGCTGCTGTGTAGACCCATGCTCGTGATGTTAATCACTGGATTGTCTGGTCCAGACTCGATTATTACAGACTGATGTCATACAGCTGTAATATTGCTGACTTGGTTACTATGGTAACGCTACTGAGTAGACCCATGCTCATGATGTTAATCACTGGATTGTCTGGTCCAGACACGATTATTACAGACTGACGTCATACAGCTGTAATAATGCTGAATATGGCATTGAACAACAGACAAAACTTAACATGTTGACTGCCACCACGAGTATACTCGTATCAATTCTGGCAGAATTTGCCACTACAAGTTATCTCGTAGCTACATCAGTGGTATTTTCAAACAAGTTTCACATGCTGGCAAAATAGGCAGAAGAAGCAATCGTCTCCTGGCTGTAACAATGAACGCCAGGAGACGTTTGTTGGTTGTGCCCATTTTGCCAATTGAAATTTGTTTTGAAATACCAGTGATGTAGCTACGAGATAACTTGTAGTGGCAAATTCTGCCAGAATTGATACTACGAGTATACTCGGGATAGGCAGTCAACATGTTAGGGAATAATGATGATCTATCTCCATGTACTGGTGCTTGCTACAACGAGGGGCGCTCATTGAGAGGACTTATTATTATTATTATTATTATTTTTATTACAGGAGCGTTATGACACCGACTTTGTAAAGCATGTGTACGAGTCCCCAATGTTGTCTGTGGCCGAGGTCGTAAGTCAGAGCAAGAGTGATTATGGAACAGTCCGGGTGCAGTACAATACAAAAGATGAATTCAAAAGTCTAGCCAAAAAACTTGGAATCATGGATGATTTCAAGGTAAGTGTGAAATATCATTTGACATAAACTTAAATATGTCTTCACAGATACATGGATGTTGTTTGTGGTGTACGTCACAGAGTTTCGGATACTTTTTATGATTATTATATCTTTTGCTTACACAGACACAGGAACACAGACACACGCAAAGACACAGACACACTCAACACGCATGCATGCACACACACACAGAGCTATAACGGGTGGATCCAGGATTTTGGAGAAGGGAGGGATGCACAAAAATCATGAAGTCCAAAGGTTAGGGGGAAGTGCTCCTCAGAGATACTTTTTTCAGGGGAGAGATCTGGATCCGCCCCTGTATAAGAGTGCCGCCCAATGCAACCCAGTTTGGCCTGACTCCTGTAATCCCTTCATGTTTCAGGCTGGTGTCCCTCGGGCAGCTTATAGAGGAGTCATCAGCTTTATGTATAAGGGTAGGAGGGTCTTCCTTTCACCTCCCCCAAACTGGAGTCAGTATGACCCCAAGTGGAGCTGACCAATGACAGCACTTGTTAGGGAGCCTGCTAGAAGCATCATCCAATGAAAACCACAGAGAGGTGATCCAAGAATACCATGAACCAATCAAGTGCTGTGTTACATATTTAGTGTGTCTGGGAGTGAAAGGAGTGTATCCGAGGTTTCGTGCGGTTCTGGTGACAGTCATGTCGCATCCACAGCTCAGTGAAATGAATTTTTGTTGCTCGGGAGTTCCCACATCAAGACTACTTCAACATTGATTTCACTTGGACTTGACAAGAGCTTGTTCCTGTGTACCATTTTTCCTTCATGATGGAACACATCAAAGCATAATGCACACTGCCCTCTAAGGGCTGTAGTAATTTTAACAAATATACTGAGAGAAACAAATAAAGGAACACACGAAAATTCAAGCGTACCTTTGATATTTTCCAGTTTTTATCACCAGCTTTGAATAGCGCTTTGGGAGGAAATATGAGAATAAATAAAGGAACACTGTCATGAGGTGATGTTCCCTTATTTGTTTCCCTCAGTATAGATTATCTCGCTTTATGAGCAGTCAAAAGCTACATTGTATTCCTGGTTTAGTTACATGTTGAGGCAGTGGACCTAATTTCAGTGAGGTTCATATAGAACCATGACTTTCCATTGTCAGATAGTTTGAAATATTTTTATGCACTAGTTTATTTTTTTGTTACTTGCATTTGTGAGGAAATAAGAAAAGACAGTAATGTTGAAAGTCTTTGGAAACTATAATTACCTTCAACAATTATTGTTTAAATTTCATAAAGCTTATATCAACATGTATATAAATCAGTGAAAAAGGAAGATTTGGACTTTGAACAATACCAGCATTGACATCACCTGTCTTTTGTCAATTTAAGTTTGCCATTTTTGACAGTTTGAAAGTCTCTGGAGCAAGAAATATATTTGTGTGTACAAGTGGAATGAAAACAGTGTCTACAATTTCACTGTTAACTGAATGTGTGTGTGTGTGTGTGTGTGTGTGTGTGTGTGTGTGTGTGTGTGTGTGTGTGTGTGTGTGTGAGCTTACTTCAACAACTGTTTTAAAGAAATCTGTTAACAAACAAGCACCTTGTCAACCCCCATGTCAGATATATTTCACTGAACTACAGTTTTCACATGCACTTCCTGTTATGCTTGAAAATATGAATTCATTTTGTTGGGCCCAAATGCTTCATTGAATCACTGCAAGTCTGGTTAAAGTGATTTTTACCAATGTTAATTTTTGTTCATTATTTATATCTACACTTCCCCAGACCAATATTGTATATGGCTTCTCTGATGTGTCTGTAACCAAGGTGATGTGCTTTTGAATTTTTTCTCAGTGTCTGTTTTTCCGGTTGGCGGCGAGTCATCTGGTTTGACGGTTCCTGTTACATTCTCTTTGAAATCCTCTGATAGTTCCTCATATTTCTCGAAATTGCAAATAGAACGAGACTGAATTTGATATGGATCGTTGCTTTTATGTTTGTGGTAAAGGTTGAGATTATTTTGGGGTTTCTTGTCAATGTTGAAGGGGTGGTGGGTTAAGATAGTGGTTAAAGCATTTACACGTCATGTCGTAGGCCCAGGTTCTATTCCATATCTGGATACACCGTGTTAAGCCCATGTGGTGTCCCCTGCCACGATATTTTTGGAACATTGCTAAAGGTGGCGCTAAACCTACCTGTGACGTAGACCTATACAGATGATGCTGCCAGTTTGGTACAGAGTATCGTTGCAGATTTACAGTTGTATCCTCAGTATATAGTGGTTGCAGGTTTGAATCTCAGGTTTGTGATCCTCGGTCTATCTGCACCAGACCATGCAACATGTTATAAGTCTTAAGACCTTCAGATTCTTTCCTATTACGATCCTTGATTTACACCAAGATGGTAAAAGTCTGAGACTGGTACATTGGCATCCACCATCAGTGAAGTGATACAACGATGATATCACCCTCTTAGACCTGCAGCAACATAAACATGATATCATCCTCTTAGACCTGCAGTGATATAAGCATGATATCACCCTCTTAGAACTGCAGCGACATAAGCATGGTATCTCCCTCTTAGAACTGCAACATAAACATGATATCATCCTCTTAGAACTGCAGTGATATAGGCATGATATCACCTTAGAACTGCAGTGATATAAGCATGATCTCACCTTCTTAGACCTGCAGTGATATAAGCATGATATCACCTTAGAACTGCAGTGATATAGGCATGATATCACCTTCTTAGACCTGCAGTGATATAAGCATGATATCACCCTCTTAGACCTGCAGTGATATTATTATGATATCCCCCTCTTGAAACTGTGGTGAATCTTCACTATAAAACAACCTGTTTTAACAATCAGCTGTGTATAGGTGAAGCATTGAACCAGTCCGAGCTCTATACTCATATTTATCTTGCGCTGTGGTTTCGGAGTGTGTTTTTTTCTATTTTGAGGCTGGGTTGAAGGTCCTTGTATGTTTGGGATGTCAGTTTTAACGAATTGTTCCATGTTTTCTGTTTAAGATATTTGTTGAAGAATTCCATGTGTTTTCCAGTGTGGTTGTGTCGGCAGAAGATAGAGTAGATGTTGTTTTATATACACACGGTCTGCAGCGTGAAGGTGTCACTTACATTAAGTACATATCAGCAAATAATTGTGCAAGAATTATCAATTATTTTGAATTTTGTATCCTAAACACAGAATCGTTAAATAACATCCGCAATAACGCAGTGGATTGTGTCCCCTTCCTGGTTTGATGAATACTTAGGATGCATTCCCTAAAACAGATTCATGGTTTTTAATGTTCGTGTCTGTTTCTACCTTCAGACATGTTGTATAAGTGTTGAGTTATCACTCTCTGCTGAGAATAAACCTTGTTTCTATGGACATTGGCCGGCTATGGTACTGTCCCATGATGCAACACTCGATAATAAGTAAGTGGAGCAAAAGGAATTTCAATCAAATGTGGTTTCATGATCGTGAGATGACTACATGTTCATAATTTCCATTGTGACAAAACCAACATCGAAACAGGAAATGGTTATCGGTACGTTTCATGCACTAATTCTTATGACAGTGTAGAAGATCGGCTGACGGAGAATTTCATTTATTTCATGGGAAGTTTAGGACTGCAATGTGCTGATAGACATAAGTAATTATACACTTATAGAAGTATCTTGTTGGGAAATAACACCATGAGATTATTTTTGAATCATTCACCTCTTACAGAAAAACATATCAACATTTCATTATAAGTTCTTCACTGGTCACGAGGGGAACATAAAGAAACATCGAGGGTACATCAAGTCATGGGCCCCGAGGGACCAGTGAACAACGTATTTATCTTTCCGAACACCTCTGGTAATTTTGAACTGTTTGATGCACAGGTACCAGATCTTAGTATGGAGCACCAGACGACAAGAAAAACAAACTTAGAGTTATCTCCCTTCTGTCGATTTGCATTCGCAAAACATCGGTAATTTCCATACATCATTCGTGATTCAATGTTATTTGAGATAAAGAATTAGTACTACGAAGTACCAAATGAGTTCGGCATTCCCAGCGGGGTACATAGAAAATGTTAATCGCTTGTGAGCGGGGTACATTGAAAATAACAGAAGAGCGCTCAGCCAATCAGAAAATGACATGTATGTGTGAGGCAAAATAATTGCTCATGCACCAAGACTGTGAGATAGCTGCAGTTTGATGAAAACCATTCTGGATTACGAAAACGGATGACATAGCTGTGATGTCAGCTTCAGGACTATCAATTAGTATTGTGTAATATGGGCTTCACTCACTTGCTTAGAAGGGGAGGTAGGTAGCCTAGTGGTTAAAGCGTTCACTCGTCACGCCAAAGACCCGGGTTCGATTTCCCACATGGGCACAATGTGTGAAGCCCATTTCTGGTGTCCCCTGCCGTGATATTGCTGGAATATTTCTAAAAACAGCGTAAAACCATACTTACTCACTCACTCACTTGCTTAGAAAGTAACCATTCAATATTTTGGGATACGAGGGAGGCTTGTTTTTTTAAACTGAATATTGTTTTAGCTACAGCTGCGAAACCATGTTTTCAGTTAAATGTAAGATCTTTCATATTTAATAGTAAAGTTAAAAAAACATCCTGCAGGAATATTGTTTTTGTGGCAAACAAGATTCTTTTTGTTAACAGTTTGAAGCATAAATCAATTATTTTAAACATTTTCGGAGGTGATCTATTTTTTCCGATAAAATCCATGTCGCCCCGAGTAGTCTGTAATATATTTAGGAGATTTGCTTGTTACCCAATGCTGGATACTGGTAGACAATGTTGGTGCTTCTGTGCAGATGAAGTTCCTTATCTTTGTTTATTTACTTCCGTATGGTGTTTGCCTGAATGTTTGTAATGTGAACGACGGAACTGTTTCAGTGCAGCGTTGTTTATTCATGATCAGATTTTATTCAATTTTCATGTATTTTGTTCAAGAGGGAACTGATACAGGGATTGTAAACTAGTTTTCTCTTTGAATGTTTGTATCCGTAATGTGCACCGTTGACAAATATAATAAAGATGTTTATTCTGTTTTTCTCTGGTACTCTGTGAAGGGTGGACAGTGTCTGTTTTTCTCTGGTACTCTGTGAGGTGTAGACAGTGTCTGTTTTTCTCTGGTGCTGTGTGAGGGGTGTGGACAGTGTCTGTTTTCTCTGGTACTCTGTGAGGGGTGTGGACAGTGTCTGTTTTTCTCTGGTACTCTGCGTGGGTGGACAGTGTCTGTTTTTCTCTGGTACTCTGTGAGGGGTGGACAGTGTCTGTTTTTCTCTGGTACTCTGTGAGGTGTGGACAGTGTCTGTTTTTCTCTGGTACTCTGTGAGGTGTGGACAGTGTCTGTTTTTCTCTGGTACTCTGTGAAGGGTGGACAGTGTCTGTTTTTCTCTGGTACTCTGTGAGGTGTGTGGACAGTGTCTGTTTTTCTCTGGTACTCTGTGAGGGGTGGGCAGTGTCTGTTTTTCTCTGGTACTATGCGAGGTGGACAGTGTCTGTTTTTCTCTGGTACTCTGTGAGGTGTAGACAGTGTCTGTTTTTCTCTGGTACTCTGTGAGGTGTGTGGACAGGGTGGGACAGTGTCTGTTTTTCTCTGGTACTCTGGAAGGGTGTGGACAGTGTCTGTTTTTCTGGTGAGGTCTGTGGTACTCTGTGAGGTGTAGACAGTGTCTGTTTTCTCTGGTACTCTGTGAGGTGGTGGACAGTGTCTGTTTTTCTCTGGTACTCTGTGAGGGGTGGACAGTGTCTGTTTTTCTCTGGTACTCTGTGAGGTGTGTGGACAGTGTCTGTTTTTCTCTGGTACTCTGTGAGGGGTGGACAGTGTCTGTTTTCTCTGGTACCTGTGAGGGGTGGACAGTGTCTGTTTTCTCTGGTACTCTGCGAGGTGGATAGTGTCTGTTTTTCTCTGGTACTCTGCGAGGGGTGGACAGTGTCTGTTTTTCTCTGGTACTCTGTGAGGTGTGGACAGTGTCTGTTTTTCTCTGGTACTCTGTGAGGGGTGTGGACAGTGTCTGTTTTTCTCTGGTACTATGTGAAGGGTGGACAGTGTCTGTTTTTCTCTGGTGCTGTGTGAGGTGTGTGGACAGTGTCTGTTTTCTCTGGTACTCTGTGAAGGGTGGACAGTGTCTGTTTTTCACTGGTACTATGCCAAGGGTGGACAGTGTCTGTTTTTCTCTGGTACTCTGTGAAGGGTGGACAGTGTCTGTTTTTCTCTGGTACTATGTGAAGGGTGGACAGTGTCTGTTTTTCTCTGGTACCCTGTGAAGGGTGGGCAGTGTCTGTTTTTCTCTGGTACTATGCGAAGGGGGGACAGTGTCTGTTTTTCTCTGGTACCCTGTGAAGGGTGGGCAGTGTCTGTTTTTCTCTGGTACTATGCGAAGGGGGGACTGTGTCTGTTTTTCTCTGGTACTCTGTGAAGGGTGGACAGTGTCTGTTTTTCTCTTGTACTCTGTGAGGTGTGTGGACAGTGTCTGTTTTTCTCTGGTACTCTGTGAAGGGTGGACAGTGTCTGTTTTTCACTGGTACTATGCCAAGGGTGGACAGTGTCTGTTTTTCTCTGGTACTCTGCGAGGGGTGGACAGTGTCTGTTTTTCTCTGGTACTCTGTGAAGGGTGTGGACAGTGTCTGTTTTTCTCTGGTACTCTGTGAGGGGTGGACAGTGTCTGTTTTTCTCTGGTACTCTGTGAGGGGTGTGGACAGTGTCTGTTTTTCTCTCTGGTACTCTGAGGGGTGGACAGTGTCTGTTTTCTCTGGTACTCTCGAGGGTGGACAGTGTCTGTTTTTCTCTGGTACTCTGTGAGGGGTGGACAGTGTCTGTTTTTCTCTGGTACTCTGTGAGGTGTGTGGACAGTGTCTGTTTTTCTCTGGTACTCTGTGAGGGTGGACAGTGTCTGTTTTTCTCTGGTACTCTGTGAGGGGTGTGGACAGTGTCTGTTTTTCTCTGGTACTCTGCGAGGGGTGGACAGTGTCTGTTTTTCTCTGGTACTCTGTGAGGGGTGGACAGTGTCTGTTTTTCTCTGGTACTCTGCGAGGGGTGGATAGTGTCTGTTTTTCTCTGGTACTCTGTGAGGGTTGGACAGTGTCTGTTTTTCTCTGGTACTCTGCGAGGGGTGGACAGTGTCTGTTTCTCTGGTACTCTGTGAGGGGTGGCCAGTGTCTGTTTTTCTCTGGTACTCTGTGAGGTGTGTGGACAGTGTCTGTTTTTCTCTGGTACTCTGTGAGGGTGGACAGTGTCTGTTTTTCTCTGGTACTCTGTGAGGGGTGGACAGTGTCTGTTTTTCTCTGGTACTCTGTGAAGGGTGGACAGCATCTGAGACTCAAATCATTGGTTCGTCTTCTCTGACTGTAGAACAATCATATCATAAACCTGTGGACGTTAGGAGCAGAAGGAACTGTCTCGTCTGTGCCAGACTTTTGTTTTGTTTTCATTTATAGATTGCGATTCTGAAAAATGTCATCAGAAGGTCGACAAAGAAACCCATTGTAGTGTGTTCTTTAATCAATGCATCCTTGGGTTTTTTCATGGCATAGTTCGGGTGTGTGTAAGCATTCTGAATCAAAATACTGACTTATAATGTCAATTGCTGCTGGAAATATTTTTGTTTCCATCATGTGGGAATTCTGTGGATATTGTTAAGTGGTCTTTGCTGGAGGTGTTTTAAAAAACTGTCATTCTCAGTTTGTCTGGTTGAATCTGTAACTTTTGGGGGCCTATATGATTCGAAAATGGATTGTTCAGATGGAGATTACATGTAATACCATATTCCCTACCCGGAGTGCCTAGACAATTTACAAAGAGGGCGCTAAACTAAAATGTGTTTGATGATAGTTACAATGAAATCTGTATGACATTTGTGCTTATGTATTCTGTAACATGTACAAGAAATACTGACTGGCATTTAAAGTTTTGGTCTGGGCAGAGTTCTCCATTAAGATTACCTACAGACGGGTGTAGAGTTTGGTCTGGGCAGAGTTCTCCATTAAGATTACCTACAGACGGGTGTAGAGTTTGGTCTGGGTAGAGTTCTCCATTAAGATTACCTACAGACAGGTGTAGAGTTTGGTCTTGGCAGAGTTCTTCATTAAGATTACCTACAGACGGGTGTAGAGTTTGGTCTGGGGTGAATATGGTATGTTAAACATGATGGTGTGTTTTCTGTTTGATGAGAGTGGGTGTGATCAGATTTATTTATGGGTGCAGCTTCTATATTGTGTCAGTCACAGGACATCATTCTTTGTGCCACAGATTTATACTTCAGCTTTGTGTACATGACGTTCCCCCATCACCTGTGAATACTTAGTCGCGTTATGTGGGAAAATAGATACCATTATTTAAATTCACTCTTGCCTGCTGGCCCGCGACTACTAAATTGTGCTTAGGACTGGTAAGAATACAATGATATTTGTCCTGATAGACAAGTAGCATATGCATGCAGTAATTCTGAACCTGGTCTCAAACACTCATAAGATTGAATGAAACAGGAAATATTTCTGTCTTGTTCATGCAGGATTCACTACTGATTCTGAGAGATAATAAACTTGGATTTCCACTAGTCCTCTGGACTTATTTGGAGCTGTGACTGGCTTGCGGTTAACTATTTTGGTTAGAACAGTAACTACACCATACATCGCGAGTCATCCATGGGGAACGTCATGCATACCTCACCATGAAGGCTCATTTGCAGACGTATTTATACTGTGTATTATCATCACAACTCATGCGACAGATAGTCATTGTATGTTGATAATAATACCAGATTAGATTAGCACTTAGAGAACGGGGTAATATATCTTAAGGTTTCATTCTTACTCTTCAATAATGGATCTGTATATAGTTCTTTGACTAAAACTCCTAAAAAAACTCAAACATCTGATTCTGTCATGGCGTGAGTGATTACTTGTAGTCATATAAAGCAGGGGGCGTTGTTTGACTTCTTTGTTTGACTCTCTTATTGGCCATGTTAGATGCTTATTAGATAATTTTACCATTTGAATATTATTTGTTACAAAATTTGACATGTTCAGTTCCCTATTAGATGCTTAAGTCGAACTTGTAGTTGACAAAACTGTTTTAGAATTTTTGCAGATGGAATTCTTTTGGTGCCATTTTTCAAACAAGCTTTGCTTGTTTCAAAAATATCAGTTTCATTTAATTACATGGTGCTCGCCAAGTGTAGACTTGCGTTACATCTGTTACTGTGTTACCCGTTATAAACGTCACATTCAGCCATCTTGTAGCTCTTCATTTCAGGATTTTGTTAATGATTTAAAAAATAATGCTGAAAAATGAAACCATCTTCCAAAAAAACAAATTTTGAAACCCTTAGAACTTATTATTAAGTATTAGAAGAATGTTGACATTCAAGTGTCAGGTGAGTTGTAAAAAAGTTTAGATTATCTTCCATTCAAATGGAGTCCAGTTTTCTAGGGTGCCACAGGTTTCTTTGAGTTGTGTCCCTCAACAGTGCCAGGATCCGATAATCATGGGTTTGAATTCTTATTCATCCTTATTACCATGTTAAGTTTGTCAGTATCGGGTTTCCCTTCATTGGTTTTACATCAAGTAGCAATGTTTCCTCATCTCACTGAAAGAACCGGGTTCGATTCCCCACGTGGGTACATTGTGTGAAGCCCATTCTTTGTGTCTGTCCTCTGCCAGACTTTGCTGCAATATTGCTAAAAGCGGCATATGCTCACTCACTCACTTGAGACTTTCCTACAACATCAAACATCCCATGGTACAGCTGAAATATTGAACCAAGTGGTGTTAAGCTGATTCACTCCCAATACAAAACCTTTCGAAGAATTTACTTAGTTGCTTGATATTGAAGGAAAACCAAATGGATATCCATCTTCTTTATTGCATGAGATAGAACTTGGTTTTCCTTCACCTAAACAACTTCCAACATGCCTCGGGGCGGTGGGGTAGCCTAGTGGTCAAAGCATTCGCTCGTCACGCCAAAACCCCGAGGTTCGATTCCCCACATGGGTACAATTTGTGACGCCTATTTCTGGTGTCCCCCCCTCGTGATATTGCTGGAATATTGCTACAAACAGCGTAAAACCATACTCAGTCAGTCAGTCTAAAATGCCTCTCAAAGAAGTTTCTTGAAATTATTCAACAGGAAGTTTAACTGGCTCAAGTGTCACAACAATCAAAATCTCCTGATTGAATATTTTCCAGTATTTAGTTACAAATTGAACTAATTTTTTTTTACTTCCACATACTTTTAAGAATTTTTTTGAAATTGAATGAAGTAGAAACAAAATGGCTGCATGACTTTGTGTCAGTTTCGAATTAGTTTTAATGGCAGGCAGTAGGTGTCTCTGGTAATGTGTCACAAAACGGTTTAGTACATGTTTGTAAATATTTTGAGTTTCGCAAGTAAGTAATTAGAACTAAAACTTCATTGTTAAATGCAGTTATGCTTGTCAGTGATCTCACACAAGGTGCTAATAGGGAAATTAGATGAATAAAGTTGTAGGTTCCCAGGTTTACTTCCTCTGTTCTACTTGAGGTTTCCCAGGTGTACTTCCTCTGTTCTACTTGAGGTTTCCCAGGTGTACTTCCTCTGTTCTACTTGAGGTTTCCCAGGTGTACTTCCTCTGTTCTACTTGAGGTTTCCCAGGTGTACTTCCTCTGTTCTACTTGAGGTTTCCCAGGTGTACTTCCTCTGTTCTACTTGAGGTTTCCCAGGTGTACTTCCTCTGTTCTACTTGAGGTTTCCCAGGTGTACTTCCTCTGTTCTACTTGAGGTTTCCCAGGTGTACTTCCTCTGTTCTACTTGAGGTTTCCCAGGTGTACTTCCTCTGTTCTACTTGAGTTTTCCCAGTTTGGAAGTACATAGCGGATTCAGTGACTAACACAGTTATGTTTCTTATCATTTATTTGTAGAAATTTGAATCTGTAGTAAATTAAATTCATAGTAAAACACCAAACAGAGAGATCCTAAATAGTGACACAGACAGTGGTGTTTCACATTCTAATTTTATTTGACATATGTAGAATTTCAAGTTGTTAATAGAACCTTTAGTAATACGCCTGATAAAACATACCCTAGTTTTCATGCTCATAGTATACCCCACTTACATGTCTTCATTGTTAGGGGCGGGGCGGTGGGGTAGCCTCGAGGTTTAAGCGTTGGCTCGTCACGCCGAAGACCCGGGTTCGAATCCCCACATGGGTACATTGTGTGAAGCTCATTTCTGGTGTCCCCCGCCGTGATATTGCTGGAATATTGTTAAAAGCAGCGTTAAACTGAACTCACTCACTCTTCCATGTTAAGAAGCCAAGTTCAAGGTGCTGCAATTCCCCATGGAGAGTTGCATATTCAGAAACAACAGGGTCTATCAAATATTCACAACATTATAATAGTGCGACCTTTATTGTTTACATTTGGAACTGTCCATTTCTGTTCATTTTCAAAGTACAAAAGTAAGATATGCTGATCTGAATGCTCACGTACTGATAACTTAGAGAGTATTATATCAGAGTAAAAGTTTTAATGAGATTCGACCTGCCCAAACCACACTGTCACTCCAGGTCAAGGGACCACCTACCAACTGATGACCAACATTGTCTAGTACATTCTTATGTAGAGACCGGGCTCCAAGTGATGTAAAGAGTCAGTGAGTATTGACTCGCAAGTTACCAGACACTGGGTATTTGAAGGGTTTCTGTGGGTATTCAGTAATGTTTTACTTCCAGTCTATTTGGTATTTTTACACCAGTGATAATTTCGGAAGATAATTCTTAAATGTTTTTCTTTCTGGTGACTTGAATTGTATCTGTGTGCTTCCCCATGTCTGTAAACTCGGAACAGCGATTTTCATGTCTCGCTGACAGGGATGCACCTTCTTTTATTTATTCAGTATTGTTTGTGTATAGGTGATGCCTGCATTTAATCAGTAAATACAGATCTGGGCCCACTTGCACAAAGAGGACTCAGCCCTATGACTATCTTAAGTTGATGCCGGGCGGTGGGGGTAGCCTAGTGGTCAAAGCGTCCGCTTGTCGTCACGCTGAAGGCCCGGGATCGATTCCTCACATGGGTACAGTGTGTGAAGCCCATTTCTGTTGTCCCCCGCTGTGATATTGCTGGAATATAGTTACAGCGGCGTAAAACTAAACTAAACTAACTCACTCACTCACTCTTAAGTTGATGCTAATGTATGGGAGTTACAATCACCTTAGCTCTAAGATCTCTTTGTGCACATGGACCCTGCACAGAGAAACAGGTAACAGAATGCATTGGTTAATTCTTAGGGAGTTATAATAATGTTTTTTGAAGTTTACATGCTTATTTGTTGAAGCAACACTAATAGAGTAACAGTGATTTATTCTGTGTAGATAATACAAACATGCAGCCTGTCTGTAGCTCTGAACAGAGTGGTCTGATTGTCAGTACATTCTCATGTATAAAATAGTCATAGTTTTATGACAATCATTGTATCAAATAGTCACAATTCTGACAATGTGCTATGTAGGTGAGTACTCAGACTGACTCTACAACATTTATTTATTTCTTTTAAGAAGATAGTGTTTGTAGTTTCATGACTTGTGTTGACTTAAAGATTGATTAGAACTGAGAATGTAGATGAAATAGTAAATCTATATATGTATTAATGATATAAATACTCACTCAATAGACAAATTAGCAGTAGATAAACTTCACACATTCTATTCACAGACATGACACTTAATATTCATTCATGTAATGCTCAAACAGTGATAAAGTCATGTGTGATCCAGAACCTAATTATATACTGAGGGAGCAAAATAATGCAACAGCTGTTTGACAGACATTTTTATGAAGTTGACAGTTGAGGAAGTAGTCATGTTATGGATAATGCAAACGTTATCACTGTTTTAAATTAATTATGAACATTACTGGGTTCATTTCATAACCCAAATATGTCAAGTTAAACATTTAGGGGTGAGGCATGGGGGTCCTTAGATTCAGACAATGGGTAATCAATCCCAACACACATCATATTTTAAAACACTTTCTATTAATGGAAACATTTTGTTGTTATAATGTTATCATTACCCTAAATAACCATAGATTGCTTGTGAACACCTACTAATCATTTGGTTGATACAAGGCATTTGTAGATGAAATACATGCTTTATTTCTGCTGTAACCTTACTTTCTTGCATCAGTATATATATGGGGAATGAAGTCCGTTGAGCTATAGAATTTGATTTGTCATGAAACGAAAACGTGAACGAAATAAGTGTTGATGATTGAGAACTAATTTTGCCAGTCTGCAAAATCACAATGAAAATACAATTAATTCCATTTGTGTAATACATTTGTATCATTAGCTGATTAATACATCGAGCACTTGCACTGAAGCTAAGTTTGATTGTGTAACACTTGGCGAGCTGTTTGTAGATCAGATAGGATAACTAGATATTGGTTGTCAGATTCTTCTCAGTGTTACAATAGTGTTCATTTTGACAATGTCGGCAGGAGCTTGTCCTGGCAGCCGTTCTTGGCTGTTCTCAAAAGACACTGCTGTGCAGAGCCACCCTATAAGATGACAATGTCGAACTGAGCTTGTCCTGGCAGCCGTTCTTGGCTGTTCTCAAAAGACACTGTTGTGCAGAGCCACCATGGAAGGTGAGCTGCAGAACCTGTGGTATTTATGAATCAGCAGTTAATGCTACTTGTCACATCTCTGTGTGCATGTAATATTCAGTGTATATAGGTTGTACATATACAAATTAACATTAAATTCCAGTATTTTTGTATATAGTGAAAATGTCATGTTCTTTCAGAGAATGATAAATTAAAACCATTCGAAACTGCTGGTGTTTTGTTGAATATCTGGTTTTATATTTGACGTTCAACATCATTCAGCTAAATGTGGCAGTAAAAGAACTGTCTGGACCATACAATCACGTGATTGACATGTTGAATGTAAGACACTGTCGGAATGCAGTGACATGCAGTCGGTGAATCCCACACAATGGGCACCTAGCATGACAAGCACAGATTGATGGGACTGATGCTTCTTCTGATCTGGACATGTGAAGATAGTTGGCTGAGCCAGTACTCCTGTGTACACAATGGGCACCTAGCATGACAAGTACAGGTTGATGGGACTGATGCTTCTTCTGATCTGGACATGTGAAGATAGTTGGCTGAGCCAGTACTCCTGTGTACACAATGGACACCTAGCATGACAAGTACAGGTTGATGGGACTGATGCTTCTTCTGATCTGGACATGTGAAGATAGTTGGCTGAGCCAGTACTCCTGTGTACACAATGGACACCTTGCATGACAAGTACAGGTTGATGGGACTGATGCTTCTCCTGATCTGGACATGTGAAGATAGTTGGCTGAGCCAGTACTCCTGTGTACACAATGGGCACCTAGCATGACAAGTACAGGTTGATGGGACTGATGCTTCTTCTGATCTGGACATGTGAAGATAGTTGGCTGAGCCAGTACTCCTGTGTACACAATGGACACCTTGCATGACAAGTACAGGTTGATGGGACTGATGCTTCTTCTGATCTGGACCTGTGACGATAGTTGGCTGAGCCAGTAATCCTGTGTACACAATGAACACCTAGCATGACAAGTACAGGTTGATGGGACTGATGCTTCTTCTGATCTGGACATGTGAAGATAGTTGGCTGAGCCAGTACTCCTGTGTACACAATGAACACCTAGCATGACAAGTACAGGTTGATGGGACTGATGCTTCTTCTGATCTGGACATGTGAAGATAGTTGACTGAGCCAGTACTCCTGTGTACACAATGAACACCTAGCATGACAAGTACAGGTTGATGGGACTGATGCTTCTTCTGATCTGGACATGTGAAGATAGTTGACTGAGCCAGTACTCCTGTGTACACAATGAACACCTAGCATGACAAGTACAGGTTGATGGGACTGATGCTTCTTCTGACCTGGACATGTGAAGATAGTTGGCTGAGCCAGTACTCCTGTGTACACAATGGACACCTAGCATGACAAGTACAGGTTGATGGGACTGATGCTTCTTCTGATCTGGACATGTGAAGATAGTTGGCTGAGCCAGTACTCCTGTGTACACAATGAACACCTAGCATGACAAGTACAGGTTGATGGGACTGATGCTTCTCCTGACCTTGACCTGTGAAGATAGTTGGCTGAGCCAGTACTCCTGTGTACACAATGGACACCTAGCATGACAAGTACAGGTTGATGGGACTGATGGACATGTGAAGATAGTTGACTGAGCCAGTAATCCTGTGTACAAATGATAACTGAACACACAATGAACACCTAGCATGACAAGTACAGGTTGATGGGACTGATGCTTCTTCTGATCTGGACTTGTGAAGATAGTTGGCTGAGCCAGTAATCCTGTGTACACAATGAACACCTTGCATGACAAGTACAGGTTGATGGGACTGATGCTTCTTCTGATCTGGACCTGTGAAGATAGTTGGCTGAGCCAGTACTCCTGTGTACACAATGAACACCTAGCATGACAAGTACAGGTTGATGGGACTGATGCTTCTCCTGACCTTGACCTGTGAAGATAGTTGGCTGAGCCAGTACTCCTGTGTACACAATGGACACCTTGCATGACAAGTACAGGTTGATGGGACAATGCTTCTTCTGATCTGGACTTGTGAAGATAGTTGGCTGAGCCAGTAATCCTGTGTACACAATGAACACCTAGCATGACAAGTACAGGTTGATGGGACTGATGCTTCTTCTGACCTTGACCTGTGAAGATAGTTGACTGAGCCAGTACTCTTGTGTACACAATGGGCACCTAGCATGACAAGTACAGGTTGATGGGACAATGCTTCTTCTGATCTGGACATGTGAAGATAGTTGGCTGAGCCAGTACTCCTGTGTACACAATGGACACCTTGCATGACAAGTACAGGTTGATGGGACTGATGCTTCTTCTGATCTGGACATGTGAAGATAGTTGGCTGAGCCAGTACTCCTGTGTACACAATGGACACCTTGCATGACAAGTACAGGTTGATGGGACTGATGCTTCTTCTGACCTAGACCTGTGAAGATACTGTGGTCTCAATCCTCCATATATATTTCAGCATTAAGTACTCAGTATTCCTATATATAGAGGGTATTATATGAGTGCCCATGTCATTCTATGTTTAGGACATGAGTGCCTAAATGTTGGTATTTCGATATTTTGGCACCGGTAAACATAGTATGATATGGGCATGAATATATTATTCTACTTATTACCAAAGTCGTCAAGTTGAGGAAAATAAACCCAAATCTACTTTCAAACATAGGCTGGCTACCGGCCATCTCCGCATGTAGAACTCACGGTCATAGAAGAAACGTGACGTATTGTTCATGACGTCACGTCACCATGACAAAGTGATATTTTACCCTATGGCATCGTATGAAAAATATGAACCCCGATATTTTCGCCCTCGTAGGTAATAACTTACATAATTAAGGCTTCAGGCCAACGTACAGCCAATACAATGAAGGTGCTTTTTTGAAAACGAGTGCTACAGCAAAAGGTTACAGTTTACGATCGGAGATTCATTACAAATATTACATTTAAGATGACTTGCATCAGAGGACTGCAACATTGTTATCAGACTGTCCATTGGATTAGGAGATCAGCTGTACAACTTTATCGACTCGAGACATTTCTTTAGTCAACCTGTGTTTATTCTAAATGTGAGACTTGTTTTCATCACGATATGTCTGACCTGTGAAGATCCGGGTTAGAATATTGGCCTTCAGTAACCCATGCGAGTCGTAAGAGGCGACTAACGGGATCGGGTGGTCAGGCTCGCTGACTCTGTTGACATATGTCATCGGTTCCCAATTACGTTGATCGATGCTCATGCTGTTGATCACAGGATTGTCTGGTCCAGACTCGATTTTTTTACAGACCGCCACCATATAGCTGGAATATTGCTGAGTGCGGCGTAAAACTAAACTCACTCAGTCACGATATGTCTGTAAGCACAACCAGTCAACCATCGGATGTCATGATCCAGCATTACAGCGCCTTCACCGACACACAGGACGACAAGGATCAGTTTCTTCAAATGTGTCCCAGATAACTGTTTGGTTCATTTGTGGTGTTGGGTGTATTTCTACTACGCGAGGTAGAACAATTTCAGTAACACAGCGACAGTGTGACGAACATGTGTACTCCCATGTCTTAATCGACTTATGTTCAGAGTGAGTGAGTGAGTTTTAGACCGCTGTTATATTCCAGCAACATCACGGCGGGGACACCAGGAATGGGCTTCACACATTCTACCTATGTGGGGAATCGAACCCGGGTCTTCGGCGTGACGAGCGAAAGTTTTCTCAAGAAGGTTACCCCACCACCCATGCTTGCATACAGAAAGGAGATTGTCAATGAAGGAGAGCCAGGGAGTTAGATATGTAGAATATAATCTCGGCTGTACAGGGCTTCAGTGGAGCACTATTTACACTACAACTTATCATATACCTTGCGTCTGATCAATCCATATTCCCCACTCATAAATTATGCACCCGTGAAGGTCCGGGTTAGAATGAACCTTCAGTAATCCATGCTTGTCGTAAGAGGCGGCTAACAGGATCGGGTGGTCAGGCTCGCTGGCTTGGTTAACACATGTCATCGGTTCCCAGTTGCGCAGATCGATGCTCATGCTGTTGACCACTGGATTGTCTGGTCCAGATTCGATTATTTACAGACCGCTGCCATATAACTGGAATATTGCTGAGTGCGGCGTAAAACTCAACTCACTCATTCATAAATTATGCCTATTTCCATGTCCCAATATTATGTTTGTTTCACATATTGTTCAACGCCGCACTCAGCAAGTTTCCAGTTATGTTTCGGCAGATAGTAAAAGACTGGTCCGGACAGTCAATGAAATCCGTCTACGAACTGGTAACACGATAACATGCTCTTAAGTCAGAGAGGGCGGTGGGGTAGCCTAGTGGTTAAAGCGTTCGCTCGTCACGCCGAAGACCCGGGTTCGAATCCCCACATGGGTACATTGTGTGAAGCCCATTTCTGGTGTCCCCCCGCCGTGATATTGCTGGAATATTGCTAAAAGCGGCGTAAAACCAAACTCACTCACTCACTCACTCACTCACTCTTAAGTCAGAGAATCCAACCATCCAATCCCGTTGGTCTCCTCTTACTAACGCACCCAGCCCAGATGTACCTCACGAAAAGTAACACAATGATACTAGTATACTGAAGGAAACAAATAAGGGAACACGTCAAAGCACAAGTGTTCCTCTATTCTCTTCCAGGTTTCTTCACAAGCTTTGCATCGCACAGTGGGTGCAAATCTGAGAATAAACAGAAGAACACTGTAATGAAGTGATGTTCCCTAAGGTGTTTCCCTCAGTATGTAGTGTGATATCAACTTCATAACAACTGGTGCTAAATATTTATTGCACAGCTTTACAATATACAGTAACGGTACAACAGCATCCCAATACCACATTTTGCATAATGGTCCAGTGATTCCAACAGTGATGGGTATAGTCTGTTTGCAGTGAAAACGTACCGATGATTTTCACTTCCAACAAAAATGTAAATCAATTAAAGTGAAATTAAGTTTGCGAATCCTCATAATTGTATCTTGTCATTTGAACATTTAAAACTCAGAATTTTATTCAACTTAGGATAAAAGTTGTTTAACAAATGATCATAGTTCAAATCGCTAATACTGGTTTGTATTACAAGGGGGTAAGCGCAGTAGTTGGAACAGAGAAACAAATACACGTGCGGTTCGTGATGAGCGTTAACTTAGACCAACCCTACTTGTTCTCGGTGTTTCATTTAATGTG